TAACAAAACCAACCAAACAAAAACCACCACATTTGAAAGATCATCATAATACTGAACCTGATTTGTATTTACCAAAATTTCTTCTTGGTTGATGGAATAGTGAAGATCCAAAGTCTTGACACCTTCACAGTATTATAGTAGTGAGCTTATTTTAACATTTCCTTAAGGCATTTTAAGATGTGGCTGTATTGGTGCCCCATAAGAAGAGCTGTATGTGGTCAAATGGGGGGAAAAAAAAGAGGAAAAAATATATAAGAAAACAACTGAAGTATGTGAAAATTATGACTTGCACTTGGTAGGTGATCAATAAATCATAGACTCATGAAATCTTAAATTTGGGACATAACAGCCTTTCCTTTCAAGATGAGGCAATGAACTCGTATATATGAAGTTGCTTGTGAACACAATATAACTTACTAGTAGATGATGTGGAAGATGATGATGGGAGGGGAATTAGAATCCTATATATTTAAATGTTCTGTAGAATATTATTGAATTATAGTATCTTGTTTTCTTTCTTAGTGATTTTTTTGTCTCAAATTTAAAGCAGCAAGCTCTAATCTTACCTTTAGGGGAGTTTTAGAAACTAGCTGAAGATTGGGGTGAACTATAAGACTGGGACAATATATCTAATGGAACATTGAACTCAGAGATTAATGTATTCTTTTCTTCCACCAGCAGCTTTGTCATTCATGAAGTCAAAACTCTCCTCAAGTTCTATTACTAATGGAAGAGATGAAGGTAAGAAGGGAATATTGGGAAGGGGCAAAGGCTAAAGGAATTTCTATGTTGGTGTCATGGCTTCAGCCGTGGGAAATCAAGAAAAACTCAGAAGGGAAACGAAAGAATATGGACATAAAAGTGACACAGATTTGATTACCAAGATATCTTCCACAAGGGGTGTTTTGGCCTTTATGATAGCACTCAAGTTGAAGAAGTTCTTTCATCATTTCATGCTATTTGGGGTTTAGGTAACAAAAACAAAAATTAAACTAGCATAAGGAAAAAGGGGATTTGAACAACTAAGCCAAAAGAGGATTTCGAGCATTCTCCAGACCTATCTGGACTTTTGCTCCTTTCAAATGGCAGCTTCATTCTTCATCATTGTAGCCTGATCATCTCTTCATAAAAGACCAGCAGTGGACATTTATAGCTCAAAAGCTACCAGTGAATGACTGAGTATTAATTCTTTTCTTCCCATGCACAAACTTCCCAAAAAAGAGACTCAGGGGGAGTGATCATCTCTCAACCAATCAACAGTGACCAAGAATTTTGATTGGTCCAACTCAGTATTTTGATTGGTTCAACTTAGAAAAGAAAGTGGGGGTTGTTTTACAATGGGGGCAGATCCAAATTAAAAATGTCAAACTGAGGGAAGGGTAGTTCCTAGAAAAGGGATATTGAACAGATAATTGTTGGTATTCACTTGTGGTTGTTTTTTCTTTTCAAGGTTATAAATAACAATATATTCTAGTTAATTCAACTGGTAAAGATGTATTATAAGGATGCATGGGAAAGTGAAGAGATTCATCTTAGAAATCCTCTAGCAATCCAGTTAGCATGTCATTTCCACATCACATAGCCAATGTCTCCTACTCTGATGTTCCTTCCTTAGGATGACTCAGCTTATATGGGAAGCCAGTGAGAGCAGACACATAAAGAATTAAATTTTGACTCTAGTTCATGGCTTCTGCTTTTCCACTCTTTTGGTTTGGTCACCCAGGGTAGCACCTTCTTATTTGGGCTAGACTCTGATTGGGTAGACCAGTCATCATAGAATGTAGGATATGCTGTTGGGTAGAGCTTCATGCCAATTTACTTTATAGGCTGCTGATCAGATACCCAATTTTGGCCAGGAATCAATTATTGTTTCAACAGCTAGAACCAGGAAAATTGTGTCAAGACAGAACAAATTAAGAATTATGGTTGTGTCAAGTAATTTGATTGGTGGATACCTATATGGGCTATGTAGCATCCCCCCAAAATAGACTATAACTTTTTTTTTAACCACTGAATATTGTTAAAATTCCTCTTTTGCCAATAATTATTTCATTTTTTAATATTTTTTAAAAATATATTTTTATTGATTTTAGAGAGGAAGGGAGAGGGAGATAGAGATAGGAACATCAATGGTGAGAGAGAATCATTGATTGGCTGCCTTCTGCTCTCTCCCTACTAGGGATCGAACCCACAAACTGAGCATGTGCCCTTAACTGGAATCGAACCTGGGACCCTCTAGTCTGCAGGCCAACAAATAACAGTTTTCCCAAAGCAAGAAGTTTTTGTTTTGTTTTAATCACTGAACCAAACCAGCTAGGGCACCAATAATTATTTTAGATATAAGAGTGAGACCAAGGTATATAGGAGAGTTCCTGCCACAGTAGAACTATAAAACTGATGAGGGAGTAAAAATTATCACAATGGACACAAGTAGAAAAAAAAATATTAAGCATTTTTCTTTTTTCCCTCATTGTAAGCTAAAATACACAATCTATTTTTTTTCACTCCTTACAATTATTATGGATAAGACTTAAAAAAACAACACATAGATATTTAAAATTTTCCCAAAGCCAGAAGTTTTTGTTTTGTTTTAATCACTTAAATTGTTTTTCTGGGGACAGAATGGAAATTTAAAAATAAGCAGCTTTCATGGAAAAGAGGTATCTGAGAGTCATCATAGGAAGCCCAAAGGGACTTAAGGAAAGGGGACTGAGGAGAGATTGAATGAAAGAAAACAAAGGGGGACGAGTGGATGGTGATAAAAATAGAAAACAAAGATAATCCCCAAGAGCAGTGTGCATAGTTCTGAAATCAGTACCATCATCACCTCACCGCTGTGGGCTCTAGGCTTCGTTTCTCCAGGCCCGAGGCTGCTTCTAGGTAAAAACAGTATGCTCAGCTTGTTTGGCCTCTTCTCTGTGCCTGTTACTTGATGTGGGCCTAAGAAAGGGAAGACTTCAGGCTTCTGGGTTGAATCTGCTGCTTCTCTCTGTTCTCAGCTCTATGGAAATTCTATGGGGACAAGGCTGTAGATAAAAGATGTGGGGGAGGAGTGGGAAGGTCTCAAATGTTGAGTGAGGAGGCCGGGTGGCTTGATTTTTAAGTTCTGATACTTTTAACTTATGCATTTGCTGCTCCTGAAGAAACTGAAAAAAGAAAACAATTCACAGTATGCCTGTGCAAATAGTAAACCAATAAAACTACCCGCATGAGATTCTGGCCCCTGCTCAGGGTACAATTTCTGAGCTGCAATAGGCAAGTGATATGTACTCTGATATGACCCAATGCCAGGATATTTTAGATTAAGAAAAGCCCAGACACTCCCATAGCTAGCAATGACCTGAGGATTGGGGTGGGTGAACTTGCAGAGCGAGAACATAGAGGAGTCTAAAGCTGGGTCCATTGTAGAATACAGGTAATCACTTGAGGTTGGTTCTATCCTGAGATGGTCATTTCAATTTCTTGCAGACTGAACAACTCAGACCTGGAACAATTTTTGGCCCTTTATAACCAAATTGGTAACTTTGGATTAGAATGAACCCCAAACCAAGTTGTCCAGGAGTCCAAGGGAAAAGTGAACAGACACGGAGACTTAAAAAGCCACGGATGTATGTAATTCTACTGTGGACTTGTCCTTTGACTCAGTGTCGGTCAGTTTGGGAGGGTGGGAACGGGAGTAGAGAGAAAAGGCAGGTGATCATAGCCTTTGGACTACCTCCACTGCAGAGGCTATCGGATTCACAGAACCAGTTTTTAAACTGATTTCTGAGTGTGAAGCATGATGGGGGACCAAAGTGTGGAGGCTTTATGCATGAAGCAACGTTTTATTTTCTCCTATTTCTAGGTATGGTCTTATTTCTAAGTATGGTCTTTAGATGAGCCCCGTGGGGCAATGGGGGGAAAGAGGTGAAAATCTATAATAATAAAAGCATAATATGCTAATTAGACCAGACGTCCTTCCTTCTGGAGAAAGCCAAGGCAAGTGGGGGCAGAGGCAGAGGTGGCCAGGGTGGCGGGGGCCAAGGCCCTTGCACGAATTTCATGCATCGGGCCTCTAGTTGTTACATAAAAATGCTAATATGTGTATGTACAACAGATTGAAGACTAATCCCTCCAGTGTCCTGGCACTCCGCGGCCCAGCTGTCCTGGGGCCTCTCTTGCATTCAGTCCCTGGCCTCTGGTGAGCCCTTTAAATCCAGGTTCCTCTACCCACCAGACCAAGCTCCTCCGCCCTGACAGGTGTTTTCCCAACTCCTAAGGCCCAGGATTTTTGGGGAGCGGCTGAGCCAATAAGATTTCCCTTTGGGGGAGAGGGCGGGAGGAAAGGCGTGGCTGCGGGGCAGAGCGGGGCGGGGCTAGCGCGGCTCGGGCCAGCCGGCTCCTGTGTGGAGGGTTGTTTTATCCGCCGCCCCCCTCCACCTTTTTTTTCCCCCCTCTCCGGGAGTCTTATTAATTTCTCCGCGGGGCTGCAGCTGGAGACGGCGAAGCGTTGGAAATTATGCTTGGAGCTTTCATTACCGCAGCCGCTGGACAAGAGTGAGGAACGCTGACAGGGTAAAGGACTGGATACGGGGAGAAGGAGCCAGAAGCTTCCCCCTCCCCACTTTCTTCCCAATTTGGACTGGAGGTGCTGGGAAACTAAAAGGAGAGCCGATCAAAGCCGGGCTGGGGCGAGAGGCCGGAAACCTACCGCCTCTTTGCAAGCAACTTTTTTTGGGGAAACCTTCCCCCCATCCGCCCCCCTTCCTTTTTATTGTCGCCCGACCTGAGAGAAAGTGAGGCGGGGAGGAGAGAGCGGGTGATCGCGCGGGGACATCGCTGCAGTCCGGCCAGGAGCTCCACGCTCACACGCGAGCGCCTCTCCCCCAGGC